AAAAAAAAAAAAAAAAAAAAAAAAAAAAAAAAAAAAAAAAAAAAAACACTTCACACCGCAACGCTATTTTATTTGAGAAGATTACACGCGAAAGAATACGAATTCATTCTCGTTGATTTTCTAATTTTTCGATATTAGAAACCGAATGAACGCCCGAATGACAGCGGGCGACGAACAGGTCAGGTGAACGAACTGAATTCGGATCATCCCGCTGTACGCTCGCGACAACGACGATGCGTACCTGGGTCCGAGAGCTGCAAATCCGAGAGGCGGCAGCACACCGATTCCAAAAACCGCGGCAACACCGACCGAATGGCCATTGTACAGGTGGCCCAGTTCACCGGGGCCGACCAGCAGACTGAGACAAGCGAGCAGCAGTATCATCTTTGCTTGACTTCCGAGTCAAGACTGAGGACGATCGCGTCCAAGGCTTCGGCTTGGATAACGGGACCTTGTTCGAGGTCACGGCACACTTTTTCATCGTGGTTTTCTACCACGGCGGTGGCAGCCGCGCCGGATCGCCGACGAGTGAACGCGTACGCGACACGCTCTCCCCGCGTTGCCAACTTTTTTCGTCGGCCGCGCTACGAGTTTATTAGCCGCAAAGTTCGACGCACTCTTACACGACTGGTCGTCATCGTCGTGACGAGCTCGCGTTCGCCATCGCCGATGGAAATCTGAAAAATTTCATCCTGAAACATTCTCGAAAGGATTCTCGCTCCGGCTTTGCTCCACTTTTTCCTTTTTCTCAGGAAGCTCGTTACCTCTATCACAACCACCATTCTACTTCTAACGCAAATTTTCTAACGAAAATTTTCTTTCGTCCACTCGATTCTACTCGCTAGTAGCTCGAGAATCTATGCTTGAAAACGTCGTTGATCGTCGTCAACGTAATCTCGCGTTTATCCGACTTTAATCCGAAAGGCAAGCAGACGAACAGACAGCAGACTACAAAAGTAAGGTATTTAGAAAGTCCTGGTGTTATTAAAAATAAGCCGCTTACGCGGAGACGCGCCAGCGTTCGAACGCCATCTATGTCTCGGACGACGGGGATTTATGCAAAAACTCTGCGCGTAGCCTGCAACTACAAGGATTTTCTTTTTTCTTTTTTCTTTTTTTCTCAATACAAAGTAATTTATTTATATTTCTATGTACAAGTTTCCAAACTATATATATATATATATATAAATCTATACACATGTGTGCGTGTATGTACACAAATAAATACAGAGAGATCGACACCTCAAACGGCGCCAATTTTTTATTTCTCGTCGATAGGAACTTTTCTTACAGTCTGTTTGTTGCGCGTTGAGCAAGGAATCGTTCAATTGGTATCATGTTACATGTAGAAAAATAGCTTTGATCTTTTGTACATTTCCTCGTCGACATTTACAACGACGCGGTATCGCAACTCTTACAAAGAGTACACACACGCTACTTCAAGACAACATTTGACTCGGTTTGGTTTCGTTCTTTTCTTTTCTTCTTTCCCTCTTTTCCAAGCAATCAAATCAATCTCACACCTGTATAGAGAGGGAAATTTACAACACGGTCGATCGTCGAACGATATCGGGTATTGGATCTCGTGTCGATGCAAAAACACGTCCCTGAGTTTGTTCGCGTTTTTTGTCAACGTTCTCCGAGAAAGAAAAGAAGAGAGACGGATTGGTCTGTTTTCAGACTCGTTCACACTGGACGGTTTTGCTCTTTCCGTAGAGCATTGCCAGGCCGAGAGATACCACGAGAAGCAGAATAGAAACGCAAGCCACGTACATGTCCCAAGGGAATAGTTCTCGCTGTATCCTGCTAGCCTCCTCGGAACTAGGCCTGGTGTCCACTTCGATGGGGAAGCTGCCAGGCCCGTCGTTCGAAGCGATCCTCACGAGGTATTTCGTCCCAGGCAACAGAGAAATCTGCGCGGAATTCGAGTCTGTCACTTGATTGCCCATAAGACCTCCCGTCTCTGGTTCCCAGGAGACCACGTACGACTGCTTCTTACGATTCGCCGCGGCTCGAGTCGCCTCCTGTCGGCTCCTGTAAACCTTGGGAGGCGCGTTGTCCACCTCGAAATCGTCCTCCCCACGGAAGAAGAATCTTCGGAACACCTCTTTCGAGATTCGTATGAACTCTTGGCTCTTCCACTCGGCCAGAACCTTCTCGCCGTAGTTCTCCAGAAAGACCTGCCTCAGCCGGTCGTTGGCTCTGGCCTCTTCCACAGACTTTTGCCTCCGGATCTGCGTGTCGACGTCCTTCCACGAGATGCTCGCCTCGTAGAAACGAGCACCTTTTCTCAAAGACTCCAACTTTGGCACCCACTCTTGCCAACTGTAGTGCTTCATCATGCCCTCCTCCGTCGCCACTATGATCCACGTATCTTGCCTCAGCTCCGGCGTCCTCTCGCCCGGGAAGTATCCAACTATCCTCCATTGTTCGCGAACGTTGCGCATCATCACCGCCACGTCGAACACGTCCAAGACGACCGGTGCCTTCTCCGGCGCTGGCAACATCGACGGCAAATACTTTTCCTCTACCCTAGTCTTCCGATAGCTGCAGGCTGTCTGGCAGGCCGGGCACTGAAACAAAGCAATTCTCTCTCTCTCTCTCTCTCTCTCTCTCTCAATCCTTTCGCAATTGAACTTGCAATTGAACCGAAGCTGTGTGTCTAACCTCTCAAACCCTATTCACGCGGCCCAAAATTAACTTCCATTAATTCGAATCAGAATTTTATCGTTTGAATATTAATTTTAACCATGTTCCCTTTTCGGGGACATCAGTGTAATTGGCGAGCAGATGTTTCTCTCGAACAAAAACAAACCAAATACTGATAAATTGGTGTACCTATGTAACAAGCATAGGTTCTCGTTAAAAATTTTCATACTCTTCTTCGTTTCATTAATCGAGAAGTACATTTTTCTAATCAACGTATCGTGTTTCACTATAAAAAAAGTTGGAAAATTTCAATATACTCGTAAATAACATAGGTGTGATGCTATACTGATAAAAAAATAAACTTTGCGCGGCCTTCGACAAATTTTTATTGGCACAGCCATGGCTTGAACGAAGCTCTCGAAACGTTTGCTCCGTTTGCTCGTCTCTTCGACGAGCGTGTTAAACAGCAGACAGACGATCATCGACCGTCCCGTCCCCGTCGTCGGTTGAAAGGAAAGTTCCACGTCTCGCGGAATCGCACCAACTAAGTAGGTACTAACGCGTCTTTCGTTCCGTTCCCGTCCGGTATTCGGTTTAAACGCGGTAGTCGACCGCTCTGCAAATATTTGAAAAAGGTTCCCCGGACTCTCTTGACGGAGATCGATACGCGAAGAGTTGAAATTCGTTGGTTGCCGGACGACAAAGCGACCCAACCGTTCGTGAAAAGCGACAGGTAGCCGTTTCTAAAGATTTTTCTTTTTCTTTCTTTCTTTTCTTTTTCCAGGCCGACGGTTCTCCCGTCGAGAGAGTTCTCTCTCTCTCTCTCTCTCTCTCGGTTTTTTTTACTTCGGCTTTCGAAAATTTCAAAAGCGACGTAACAAGTTTCTCCTTTGCGCCTGATCGCTCCGAATTTCCCGGCGACTCGACACGCTCGAGATTTCCCGACCGCCGGCATTTCCGTCCACTCGACCGAAACGAAAAGGTTGAAACGTTCTTGTAAACGTAATTGTAAACGTTTGTCCGACGAGGAGACGTCGCCGGTAAAATTGCTTAAATCCGGTAGAATACGAGTTGGTCTGGATTCAGCTCGAGACGTCGAGTTTCCCCTTTGCGAATACGATCGACCGAAAATAAGGGGCCGAAAATTCCCCTCCGTGGTACAAACTCCCCTAATCTCTGAAAGACCGTTTCACCCGTAAATTTACTTACATGTAGATACTGGTCGCCCTCGCAAATGGTTCTTGTCTTCTCCCACTGGTTCTCGAGGGCCTCGCAATACTGCCAGCACTGTAACGCAACAGAGAGAAGGAAAGAAAGAAAGAAAGAAAGAAAGAAAGAAAGAAAAAAAAGAAAACACGTACACACGTGAAAGAAGCGAGCATGGCAGGGGGAGGTTTCAGCGTCGAACAAAAAGCTCTTGCACGCGCGGGACGCGCGGGTAAAAAGGAACACGACGGTGAACACGAGGGGGATGAAGAGGCACGACGCGGCCAAGAAACGTGGAAGCGAAGAAGGAAAGGGAAAATAAGAACCATCGGCCGAACCGTTGAATCGAGCGATTTAAGCGGGC